TAGCAGTAAGAAGCTTTGTCAACATAAAAAAAAAATGCAGAAACTTAGGCTAAAGAAAGAGCAGCAGGAAGCTGAATTTCTCAACAGCTGATTAATGACGCCATAACAGAATTTGATTTGGATATTAATGCTGAGCTATTCCTTAAACTGACATTAATTGCCACCTATTAAATTGGATCTGCATTGCTGTTTTTCAAAAAAATCCACCACCACTGAGAGATTAAAAGAGAAATGGGTTGGAGGCCAAGTGAGTGTATCATTTGTCAGCTGGAGCTTTGTGGCAGGTTTTAAAATTACTACCCCATGATTAAGTGTGTGTGCGTGTGTGTGTGTGTGTGTGTGTGTGTGTGTGTGTGTGTGTGTGTGTGTGTGTGTGTGTGTGTGTGTGTGTGTGTGTGTGAAGGGAAAAAAACAGTAAACACATTTTCTGATCATTTCTTATCAATTCCATGCTGTAATACAACTAGACTTGACAATCTACATAAAGGTCTCATTCCATGTTGGATGCCCTGTGAGTAGCTTTCTGTGGGGAAAAAAAGTTCTCGTGGTTGTTTTTTGCGGCAGAAGTCTGTTAGAGTAGAGCGGGTTAGAAAATGGAAGGATTTAGAGTTTTACTCATTAAAATTCATGATATGCAAACACCTCACCTCTGATTGGCCAACAGCAAAGTTGGCCTCTGTGTACTCTTTTTTTCTAGGGTAAAACATGCACCATTGATGGTTTAGCTCCTTAAATAAAACAATTCTGAATGTGTTTTGCCACGTTGTGCATGTTGCTAACACTAATGGTTAGCTTCTACTAGCCAGGACGTGCTCTTCTCTCTCCTGCCTGCAAAATCAACACAGCCTTCTATGGCCACAAGACAAGGTTGGCAAGATGTAGAAGAGACTAGGTTTTTCTAAACAAATTGTTTTCCCATCTTTTTACTTTCTAAAGCTAATGCCGTTGACACGGGTTGAAGAAATGTTTCACGTTTAGCATGTAAATACCAATCAGAGTCACATCTATATTTCAAATTCAAGTATTGCACAGTTTCTTGGTGAACAAGCCCTTTGAAGAGCTTCTAGCTGATATTTATGAAGGTCCATTACATTACCAACCATGGATGTTTGTGGACAACAACATGATCAACAAATTATAGGGCTAAGTTAACTACTAACCCAAGAAGCTAAGAAGTGCTCCTTGGACCGGGGTATCCCACCCGCACGGCAGACTGGCTCCCGTGCAAGGCTGTAGTCATGCTGGTCGCCTGTGGAGATCTAATATAGACTGGGACTGTTAAGTTACAAGCAGAGCTTCAGACCACTGCGATCGTAGCCAGGCGCCATGGTCTATTACATCAGCTCTTGTTCCACGGTTGGAGATAATCGGGACATTAGCTACATTCTATCCCAAAGCTAACGGAGTTTTTCCAGACATTTTTTGCAAGAAAAACATGGTAGAGCGACTCCAAAGTAAAAGAACTTCTGGCCTGCTTAGTAATGAAATCACAACTACGTAAGCTGACTGAGGATATCGGGTTTAGTTGGTCCATTGTGGTGAAAGATTTGCGTGTGTCTGCCGTTGTTGACAGTCCTTTCTCCGGGAGCCAGAGATCAGCGGGACATTAGCTACACACTAACCCAAAACTAACAGAGTTTTTCTGGGCATTTTCAGCGAGAAAAATGCGGTTGAGGGACTGAAAAGTGAAGCAGTGTCAACAAAAAGAGCTTCGGTGTTTCTGTGGTCTCCCTCAGAGATCCACCATTGATCAGCATGACTGCAACGTCGCTTCGGAGACGGCCCGGCTGCCCCGGAAAATGGGAACAGCTGCTATTCTCAGGCAGGAGACAGGAGAAACTATGGGCACTAGCTAAAGGTTGATATGCAGCCCCACTAACATGTTTAACCAAGCAGTTAAATGACACAGCATTTCCCCCATTCAACCAGGGAAATAAAGTACAGAAATATTTATTTACTCGCTGAAACATAAACTGTTTGGATGATCTGTTAGTAACCACAGATTACCCTTTTGTCCAACTAATTCAATGATTGCTAACACAAACAGAAAAAAACTCAAGTTCAGAGGGTCGAAATGGCCAAACATCTATTAACGTGAGGCTGAGGCCTTTCCCCGGAGCTAGCTCTGAAGTCACATGGATGCTCATTAATTCTACTTGAACAGCAGAGTTACAATAAATGTACCGCCCTCATAGATGTCATTAATGTAAACTAGAACAAACCTAAAATGTTTTTTTAACCAGGTTGTAAGCATCAATCAATCATTCAATCAAGTTTTATTTATATAGCACTTTCCACCACCCTCAAAGGGGGTCCATGGCGCTGGACTAAAAAGTAACAAAGACAAAAGTATCAAGTCATAAAAACATTAAAAACAAGATAAGAACATAGACATTTGTGAGAACAATAAAATGCCAATGAGATAAAATCTAGATAAAATAAAATTAAAATTAAAGGAAAGCTAAGAACAAAAAATAAATACCAGAAACCAAATGCTTTAGGAGAAAGCCATCCTATAAAAATGAGTCTTCAACCATGCAGCTCTTAAAAACTGCCAGCGATGGGGTTTATTTCTACTGTGAAATTGGTATTTTTAACCTGGGAGTCAATGAGTATTTGCTCACTTCTGCTGCCAGCCCCTAGTGGATGAGGGTTCGTAGAACTCTGTATGCCTCCTTTTTTGTTCCCCGGTGTAGAACTGAGTCAGGGAAGCTGGCTTTTTCTATTAAAGCTTCATCTGACTGGAATAATTTACCTGTTGTTATGAGATCCACCACTTCTTTTAGGCAGTTTAAAACTTTGATTCATGATTATTTATTACCCATCTGTAGCTGTTTTTGAATTATTATTGTGTCATCACTTAGCCTTACTATACTTTTTATCCTAAATTCTCTCTGAGCTGGGCATTAGTTGTCTCTCTACCATTATTTAGTTGCATCGTTTGTCATCATATTTTTATGTAAATATACTTTAGTACATTTGTTCATACAATTTATTTTATTTGATTAGCCAACGTCTTTGTTTTATTATTATATTATTATATTTAATTTTTTTTATTGGCATCTGTATTATTATTAGTATTTTATTTTTTATGTATTGATTTTTTATTGTGGTAGTGTTAATTTGTCATTTTGTTTTGAATTCAATTTATCACTCTGTTATCTCGTCTTTGTATTTCCATCTTTGTTTCCAGGAGGACCCACTTGTAAACGAGATGCTTCATCTCAAGTGGTTTTATCCTCCTTAAAATATAAGTAAATAAATAAATAAATGCAATTTTTGCCACTTCCTTGTTGGCTTCAAATTTATTGCAGAATTATGGGGCTTGGTCCACAGAGACATTCACACACTGATGGTGATGAGCCACAATATAGCCACAGCTGCCCTGGGAGCACACTGACAGGTGCACAGGGGCCATCATTCCCTCCGACCATCACCAGCAAGCAAGGTGGATTAAGTATCTTGCTCAAGGACACAACAGCAGAATTCTCTGTCCGGGGCCGGGATCGAACCTGCAACCTTCCGATTAATGAACAACCCGCTCAACCTTCTGACGAGGCTACTGTATGTACTCCATACATAGATTGAGCCGTCTGTCCATCCTCTTTGTTCTTTTTGCATGTAATCCAGTAAGTTGTATATCAGCTGAGTACCCAAACAAAGCAAGAACAGCAGTCCCAGTGGAAATCATTGGTTTAGTGTTGTGCAGTATAACTTGCCACCTGCAAAAGAAGCAAAGAAGAAATGGCCAGACTTTTGAAGAAATGCTGGGCGAATGTGTAGGGAATACCAAACACTTCTCATGTGGATGTAGGGACAGAGCTCCTAAGAAACAGCTAGGAGGAGATTAAACGTCAAATTGTTGATTCTTAAAAAAAACTTCTAAAGTCAATCATTTATTCAGTGGATTTTATAATTATCTCAAGCTGAAGACACCAAAAGAACCACCTTTCCTACAAAAAGCAAACATGCAACCCAACCAGATGAAAACCAGTTCACGACTACACCTTGAGATCTACACATTGAGAACCATTCCATGAGTACACATTGTCATCAACCTCTGTAGAAGCCTGTTAATCACCCACTGATTAAAACTAGGTTAGAGAAACCTGTAAAAGATGCAGGATGGTGGTCCTTGAGGACCAAGATTGGACACCACTGGGTTATGCCGAGACCACATATGCAACAGCAACATAAAATCCTGCAGCACTCCACCATTAGGGACACAGCCTTATCCAAATCTGCAACACATGTGGATTGGTCTATCAAACGCCCTTAAACCCCCTCAGTAACACTGTATGGGGAAAGTCCCCATGTCTGTGTCATTACAGTTGGGTCTTATCCATAATGTGTAGGAAATGTTGTGGCAGGGTTCTTGATTCATGACATGATATCCTGTGATACATACGACATGTCAGGCCATCAAAATAATTTGCTCCAGTATAATCTCTGGCAGAATTTAGGGCAAGTCGTTTCTCAGATAAATAAGGAGGACTGACAAGCTAACTAGCAGACATCATCATCATTAAACTGCACAGAGTTGCTCAAATGTCACTCCAACAATCATTTCCCATTTATTTGACAGTAATCGTTGAAAAAGGAGTAAGTGTTTTGCTGGTCTTCCTCACTCCCTCTGCTTTATTTCCATCTCCTCTTTCTCCGCCTCCTATATCTTTTTGTCATACTCCCAAAGTGAATGATATGATATGAGCTCTGGCAAGTGTAATCTCCTTTTAATTAAGACCTGCTGCCAGTGCCAGTTTCAGATTCACACCGACTAAAGGCTGTTTTCATTTCATTTTTAGGACCTGAGTTATCATCTTATTGTTGCGGTTTTACTCCTCCAACTTTGACTACCTTATCATTCTCATTATCTTAGCTGTATACATTAACCCTTTAATGTCCAACCCTCAACCATCCTCACTGCTGACTCATTCCTAGTTTTTTTCCCTTTGTCTCCTGTTTCTCTGTTGCTGTTCCACCTCCATCTATCTCTGCAGTCCCAGCACCACGAAGAGGAAAAGAGAGCCCTCAGCCGTGAAATCATTGTTCTCAACAACCACCTCATGGAGGCCAAGATCACCATCAACAAACTGAGAGAGGACAACGTGAGTGCATCGTGTTCTGAGTGATTGCAACATCGTCTTTGTCAGCATTGTGTATGAACTCAGAGCAAGGTTCCCGTGACTAATGTGGCGAGTTGCCCTCAGAGATGTCGATCTCAGATATTTTTTTAGCCCGACCACAAATTAAATACTAGCCTAAGGTATTAAAGGGACAACAGATCAGGAGTCCCAAGGCACTCTCTTATGCTTGGTCAGTAACTTTGCTTGTATGAAACAAGTTAGATTTGGAGACAAAATTGACAACTCATCAAAAAAAAAGTTTCCCCTAACTCCTCTTGTCACTCTGGCAGCTTTTCCCATTGACCCAATCTCCCTTAAAGTCATACTCGGTGTATTTCTGCAACATGCTGGATATACGGGTGCTTCAAGGTGCCACAGAAGATAGAGGAATTAACTTTAAGCCACTGGGTGTTTTATGGTGATTATACAGAAATCAATGGGTTTCCTAAGGGTGGGGGGGAAGTCGGAGCCAGGGCTGCGTGATTCTGAGCTCAAGGCCACATGGCATTCTGGCACCCCGCTTTCTTTGAAGTGATTCAGCTGGCTTTCTGTGAGGAAACTCCAAGTTAGATTATAAATTCTATCTCTTCTTCTGAGGCCCTTCGCCGCACTTCTGAGGTGAGTAGCATTTTGCCACCCCCACCCCAGTCCATCTGGGCAAGCAGATTTCCAGGATAATATGGGAAGAGGGATGTAAATGCATCATGATGAAAGAAACCTATTCCATTTTTACTATGCTTGGGGAATACACCTGTTTAACAGTTTTTTGTTACAATAACGTTTTTATTTATATATATTTTTTTACCATCGATGATTGTAGATGAATGTAAAATGACCACAAAATGTCAGATATATACTTTTTATTACAATTTTACCATTACCCCTGAGTAAACCTCTATTTTCTGTCCATATTCAGACAAAAAATTTCAATAAAATGCAATAAAACATACAGAACTCCTACTTTTTGTAAAATGAGGTTTAATATAGACCGTTTTACATGCAGAATACAGACTACAAAGTAGTTTAATGTTTTAACTCAAAACCCGACACTGATTTTTCCTCCGCTGGAAGAATAAAGCTGAAGCTTTATTATGAGATTAAAAAACATTAAATTAAGATATAATTAATGGGTAAAATGTAGACTTTACCCGTGTGAGGGTAAAAAATAATAGTGTAAAGTTCTAGAGTAACTTTTGACAAGTAGTCTGTGTTGTTTTTGTTAAGAATTACGCTCTTAGATTGTTTATTAATGCCCACTCTCCCTCTAAATGTACATTTAGCCCACATTCACTTGGTAAATCATTCAACATTTAAAATAAATACATTAAAATTGGCACTATTAGATGAAAAACTGGAGGTCTGGAGCTGCTTCTGGTTTTTCACAGGGGATGTTAAAATGACTCAATGGTTCTATGTTGTCAGAAGAATATTTGTGTTTGTTCCTCTTTCAGGACCTGTACAGGAAAGACTGCAACCTGGCAGCTCAGCTGCTGCAATGCTCCAAATCTCACTTCAGAGCACACAAGTTATCTGAGGTGAGCCCAGCAGCACCATCCCTAAAGCTGAAAAGATCTTACATTTACACTCTGATAAAAATGTTGCTTTATCAAACTTCAACTTTAGATATTTTTTAAGGTTTAGTATGAAAATGAGCTGTTAGAGCACAGTGTTAATGCTTCACTTTTGTGAAGGAGAGAGAAGTGTTTCTGTGCCACTAGAAGCCTTGACAAGTGGATTTCACAATAAGATGGAGCTACGCTGCTCTTGGCCTCTCCAGACAGATTGATGGAGGTCTGCTGTCTGAAGTGCCGTCTGTCTACATCCTAGTTTTGCATAATGAAAAATGAAGGACAAGAGCATCTGAAGCCCAGGAAACAAAATATATATAGACATTTAGCTAAACAAAGCTCTGAATTGAGAGAAAATGGATGATATATTAGACTGTGTATGTATGTATATATATATATATATATATATATATTACACTGAACAAAAAATATAAATGCAACACTTTTTCCATGAGCTGAACTCAAACATCTGAAACTTTTTCTACATGCACAAAACACCCATGACTCTCAAATATCGTTCTGATATAGGTCTACATGTGTGTTAGAGAACACTTTTCCTTTACCAAGATAATCCATCCCACCTCACAAGTGTGGCATATTAAGGGGTTGATTAGACAGCATGTAAAAAGTACAGGTGTGCCTTAGACTGCCCACAATAAAAGGTCACTCTGAAATGTGCAGTTTGATCAAACAGCACAATGCCACAGATGTTGCAACCTTTGACGCACAATTGGCATGCTGACTGCCGGAATGTCAACCAGAGCTGTTGCCCGTGAAATTAATGTACAATTATTTACCATAACCTGTCTCCAAAGGCATTCAGAGAATTTAGCAGTACATCCAACCGGCCTTACAACCGCAGACCACGTGTGACCACACCAGCCCAGGACCTTCACATCCAGCATGTTCACCTCCAGGATCGCCTGCGACCAGGCACCCAGACAGCTGCAGCAACAACTGGCTTGCATAACAAGAGAATTTCTGCACAAACTGACAGAAACCATCTCACGGAAGCTCATCCGCATGCTCTTCGTTCTCATCGGGGTCTAGACCTGACTGCAGTCCATCGTCGTAACTGACTTGAGTGGGCAAACACTCACAATCAATGGCATTTGGCAAATTGGAGAGGCACTCTGTTCACAGATGAGTTTTCACTGTTTAGGGCAGATGGCAGACTGTGTGGGTGGCGTCGTGTGGGTGAGCGATTTGCTGATGTCAACATTGTGGAACAAGTGGCCCATGGTGGCGGTGGGGTACTGGTATGGGCAGGCGTATGTTATGGACACCGAACACAGGTGCATTTTATTGATGGCATTTTGAATGGACAGAGGTACAGTGACAATATCCTGAGGACGTTCATCCACGACCATCATCTAATGTTGCAGCATGATAATGCATGGCCCCATATTACAAGGATTTGTACACAATTACTTCTGTTCTTATGTTCACTTGACTCAATGATACTTTTAAGAGCAATCTGACAACCCATTTGTTTCTCCGGGCATTCTAAACATATTTTGTATGCGGATTGGCTGTATACGACTTTTATGTATATTGTGACTGTATTTTATAGTAGCCTTTTTATGTGTCGTTTTAACTTGTGAAGCGCTTTGTGACCTTTTCGTCTATGAGAGGTGCTACATAAATAAAGCTTACTTACAATTCCTGGAAGCTGAAAACATCCCAGTTCTTGCATGGCCAGCATTCTCACCAAACATGTCACCCATTAAGCATGTTTGGGATGCTCTGGATCAGCGTATATGACAGCGTGTTCCAGTTCCTGCCAATATTCACAACTTCACACAGCTATTGAAGAGGAGTAAGCCAATACTCCACAGGCCACAATTAACAACCTGATCAATTCTATGTGAAGGAGCTGTGTTGCCCTGTGTGAGGCAAATGGTGGCCAAACCAGATACTGACTGGTTTTCTGCCCACCACCCCCATAAAGCAAAATTGTGCACATGTCAGGGTGGCCTTTTATTGTAGGCAGTCTAAGGCACACCTGTACATTATCCATGCTATCTAATCAGCCCCTTGATATGCCACACCTGTGAGGTGATTATGTCAGTAAAGGAAAAGTTCTCACTTACACACATGTAGACAGTTTTCTGAACAATATTTGAGAGTCGTGGGTGTTTCGTGTAAGTAGACACATTTTCAGATGTTTGAGTTCAGCTCATAAAAAATGGGAGTGAAAACTAAAGTGCTGCATTTCTATTTTTGTTCAGTGTATAAGCACAAAACTTCAGACAGTCACAGACAGTTGGGAGGGGTTGGGAACCTCATTGCTCTAGAGAGAGTCCACAGCCTCAGTGCACATTCTCAATCCCTGTTGCTCAGACGTGGGAGGGAAAGCCAGCTTGCGTAGAGTACATTGACTCCTTAGGTACGGTGTCCTTGCCAGGCCAGGCCGCAGTTCCAAAGGCAGGGGGGTAGGGCAGGTTTCACAGCATCTGCCTGCGATCCATCTGTGGGAGGATTTCTTCTCTACAGCCTCAAGGCTCTAAGGGTGCCAGAACTGCCAGCCAGAGATAATATCCTATCTGCCATGCTGTTTTAGTCAGTCTTCAGTCCTTCAGTGAATCCAATAACTGGGTTTAAATTTCTCCATACCATGCAGTAACTTTCTCCAAGATCACATCCATTTAACGCCAGAATCACAGCTAGAACCTCTAGCTTGCAATTCACCTTGAGAAACGACTGAGTCTGAGCAGTCCACGCCCAGCTGAGACTTTCCTTGAGTTCGGGTTACACTCCAATTGCAGCTGACTTTCCAAATATCCGAAAGACGAGAAATACTCCCACTCCAAACAGAAGAAACCCAAAAGTCCATGTGTCTTCTACATCATCCACGGACAGCTGGGAGAGGATGTAGAAGACGCTGTAATTTACACTGTTTGCGTAAATCAGTGATTTTTTCTATATGACACCATGCTTGAATTGAGTTACATCACATCAAGTAACGTTGCAAAACTCTGTGATTGCAAAACTCTGTGATTGTTAATTAAGATCTGGTTTAGATAGCGGCTAATGCTGAGCTAGCTCTCTTGCAACACAAATTGGATACTATCGTATGCACCTCTCCTCTCCCCTCCTCTCCCCACACACACACACCATTTCATCTACTTCCCATCTCTTTTCCCTCCGGGAGAGTCAAGAGCTTCTAAAAATAGCTCTCACTTAAAACATTCAGCTTAATTCATGCCAAAGTGAACTTCTATTTCTTAACAAACGCAAGTCAGACTTTCTTATACCCAGCTGGAGACCCAAGCACTAGTTTAATTTGAATCTAAGCCGGTCCCCATGGAACCGATATCTGCGTTTGATGGTAAAAAGAAATCCTGAGAAGTAAGAAAGAACAGTGATGGGGGGTGGGAGTGCAAGAGCTTTTGGGTTGAGAAAGCACTGGGGCAAGAAAAAAGAAGACAAACATGATAAAAAAGAGAAGACGAAAGAAGAAGGCTTGGTAGGGCAGGAACAGTTTCTACTGACCAACTTTAATGGGCAGAAGAAGACCGGCTGTAATTGGCAGGCATAGTTTCTCAGACACAAGCAAATCAATCTGTTATTTTGTCTGATGGTGAGGGATGGAAATATAAAAAAACGAGACCGATGGGATAGAAAAAGGACACAAAACATTCATAAAAAGAAATGCTTATACCAGAAATGTTCAGAGCAAGAGAGAAGTGAGATTTGTGAGCAACGAGACATACAATTGGATTGCTTGTCAGTTATTTTCATGTTGAGTTTACAAATCGGACCAAGCAATGCATTTCTACTGAGATGGAAGACTTGATCTGTTCTTAGTACATGATTTAATTAGTGTGAAACCACACGCCATTTTGTACAGATACCCAAAGCGAATAATATACTGTATGTACTGAGAATGAGGAAGAACTTCAACATAGGATGAAAACCTCACTATGGCAACAAGATTCAGTGGATGGTCTTTGTAATAAACATGACAGATAAATAGCTTTTTACCATCGTGGCTGCAGTGTTTTGGGTCCTGGGTGGAGCGAGGTGGTAGTGTTTCCATGGCAGCATGCACTGAGACAGTCTGGTCATTGAGAATTTGAAGCTGGAATAACTCTGTTGCTTCTTGGCTTCATGCCATCAGCATTGTGCTAGTTGAGCACAATACGGTTCTAGAGTTGTGCCAGACTGAACTGGTGTGATGAGTGCATGAAGTAGGATCGTTGTTAATCATTGCTGACGTAGCGCATGAGAAGGGCATTGCAGGAAAAATTCTGAGAAATGGGGGAACTTTTTTCCACAGAGGAAAAAACAATTTCAAATACTGACCAAATGGCTGCTTTCACACCATACGGTTTTACAATTTTTTTTATTATCAGCCACAATCTAACAGCCAGAGTGAGCAGAGAGGTCTTTGTCTAGTACCCAAACAACCGAAGCATCTTGAAAGGTGCAATATGTAAGAATAAAGTAAGAATTCTATCGTGAAATAATCACAAAACATTCTAATTTCTCAGTCATGTTGAAAGTCTATGCCGGAGCCATATTACCATAAGTGTAATAAGCGCTCCCTACCATAAAATACCAAAGAGTGTGAACATCACATATGACAATGTATTTATCTACTTATCAGCTTACTGTATATGATTAGTCTTAACTTGTCATCTAGAAGCTTCTGATGCTGAAATGTAACTGGCAACAGTCATGAGACTCACGGGATATAGTGTGATAGCGATTGCAGTAACCAAACTTGACCACAGGGTGTCATTCTTACTTCATTCCTACATAATGCACCTTTTCCCAAACCCAGGTTGTGAAGATTTTTTATTGTTGCTTTTGTGGCAATCCTCACTTCACTCTTTGTGTGTTTGTCTTTCTCAGCTGCCACTGGGTTTTCAGGAACGCATCAGTTCCTACATGGAGAAGCATGACAGAGGTAGAGAAGCCTCTATGGCAATGTACCATCCCAAGTATCCTGATGAAGTACCAACATCCATAATTGGCAAGGTCCTGGAAAAGCCTGAACCTGGGAGCAGTTCCCCAAAGACAGGCTCTCCCACCCTTCACTCTCAGGATGGAGACGTTTTGACAGGAACAGGAAGCACTGATCACCTGAACCGCCGCATTTCATATAAGACCTCGGATCTGTACTGCAGTGATACAGCTCTGTATTGCCCTGAAAGATGGCAAGAAACAGAGCGTAGGCAGAGTGTTGACCTCCATGGCACTGGCTTGATTCAGTTGCATGCTCAGAACTCTATAGAGAGTAATCCAGAAGAAGATCATTTTCAGTCTGGAAGTTTCTCCCATCATGAGCCCTCAGCTTCTTTCCCCAACCTTGATGAGTTTGGAACTGGCAGTCTCCCTGCCTCCAGTTCTTATTCCAGCTTCAGTCTTGCTTCAGATGAGAAAGGAGCTGTTAGTGGTGGGTATGGGCGCACTGCCAGCAGTGCCCTATCCTCTTCCCACCAGGGTCTTTATATGGACTGGCGAGAAGGTGGCAGTGGGGACTATGAGCGGAAAAGCATGTCTTCTTATGAGAAAGACAGCCCCAGCTTCTCCAAGTCACACAGCATTCAACAAATGGTAACCTCCAGAAGCCCACAGAAGGAAAACTTGCCCTTGTATTCAAGGACTGCTTCGTGCCTCAGTGAACCCTACCACTCCAGCACCTCTCGTTTGGCTTCCTCTCACAGTATGGGGTCCACAACTGGGCTGGGTCAAGATCGAGGAGGAGCTTTAGACAACAGAAACAATGTACAGGTCTCTGAGGATGACTTGAGCATCCGCTGGAAACAGCTTAGTGTGGAAGACATCAACACTTTCTCATCTTATCGTGACATTGCAGGGCGGATCTCGCCATATAGTTTTTCGGAACGACACTTTGCCATGGGCCCCTCCAGTAAAGTCAAGGACTCTCGCTACAGCAGCTTCCAGGAGGGAGATGATGTCTTCCACAGCCACGTGCTTGACCAGTGTTTCGCTTTGGGCTCACCTTCGCAATGCCGCAGTCCTAAACCTAAGGAGCATCATAAGCAGGACAAAACATCTGTGCTGTACCGAGCCAAGAATGACAGTCAAGACTCTGAAAGCAGCCTGTTCCTCTCAGGGAGCTCTAAAGACAAAGAAAGCAGCGGGGGAGCAGCAGCTACAAACAGTGTCAAGAAGGATTATATGAGCCTCAGCGTGGACAGCTCAGGTGAGTCCTTACAGCAAAGCTCACTTGAAGCTTCTAGTCTTCAGCACTACCCCAGCCCACGGCCGAGTGTTCGGCCTCGCCCGAGCTCCAGCTCTGCCATCACTGTTGGCCCTGCGCTGCCCAAGAAGACCTCTCCAAGATACCAAAAATTTGGCAGTACGGGATTGACGCGGAAGGACAGTTTGACCAAGGCACAGCTATACGGTACACTTTTAAACTGAGTTACTTTTCAGTTCATGCATGATGATGATGGTGATGATTCCTACCTTACTGTACTGTACTGCACCGTATGTCTCTCTGCAGTAACTGCATACTTGTGATGGGGTGTTGTTTTCTGTATCTTAGCCAAGGCACGTTTCACACAGTCTGTAACATTGTTTTTTTCTATTGCGCATCTTAATGCAGCGTAGCGACCGATTACCAGCTATTAAGTTCGTTTTTTCTGTTTATTTGTTTAATTTTGATATCGTGTTTAATGAGATGACTTATTTACTCATGATAGAAGGAGATAATCCATTAGGTGTTGTGAACTATGCGGACTGCAAGCTGTTAAGATTTATCCACTTCATATTTCCCTCTTGAGCAAATTGCATGTTGCGCACATGAAATGGATGGGAAAAAAACTCTGTTTCAAAGGGACAAAATCTGTGAAGGAATATTTCCAAGCCAAGTAAGCAATAGGGAAAATATACCTGCATTTGTTATTTCTAGCATGATAATGTGATTCGCTTCTTCGAGCTGGATTTGATTTAAAAAAAAAAAAAGAAATTGTCTAAATGCGATCGTCAAATTCCACATATATTCAGGTAAAGTTTTAACTATACATAGGAGAAGTGTACAAATAAAATAAGTGACCTATTCGAAATCATCATATGGAAATACATTTAAAAGTATACACTATTCGATAATGAGCTGAACGAATTTGGATTTTATACAGCTGGATTTTTCTAGTTTTTGTATCAAAGTTTGATTCTTTTGGGTGGTTTTACGGCACAGAAGTTAAACCAGAATACCTGTGAAGTTGCCTTAACCCTGTTTGGTAGACAGAATGGTCTCCTTTACAGAATCAGTGTACATCCTGTATTTCTGAGATATAATCCTAATCTATTTTTACTTATGATGTTCTTCCTGTTAGCTACCACACACAAGCTTCTTAGGGACTAAAATCTGTTCTCATACAGAAGGCATTATTAGATCTGCTGTAGTCAAATATGCCATTTGTCTGTTAGAAAATCAAAGGAATGCAATCAGATTTTTTAAAGCATTAAAGCGTTATCTAAAAAAAAGCCACAATAAAATTGCTGTTTTGTTTGCTAGCAAACTGAACGTTTTCACAGGATCAACAAAAAAATTGGGATTAGACAGACCAAGAATAGATCGAGTGGTTGAAGACTCAAATGTACAGTCACTGTGTTGCATTAAAAACCAGCATCCTCTGTTAGGAATTTTTCCAGAGAAACACTGTGAAACTAGATGAAGTCTGTGCATAGATATACATATAAAGTAGCAAAGGCATGCTATTTGTTGATGAGTGAAAAAAATGAGACTCTGGCCTGAAGATGAAGAGCAGCAGAGGTTACTCTGCTGCCTAACAATCACGCAACCATCTGCTACTCTTGCACTCAAGATTGCCAAAAGACGACGTCCCGACATCTGTGCTCCTAATGTTTTCTTCCTGCCCGAGTGGCTCTGTAGATCCAAGGAATGTTGACAAGCATAAGCAGAAAATCCACTTTGTGTTCGAGTTGTGATGGATACAATTTTTATTTGTAAATGCCATGCCACTACCTCTCCATTTCCGGTAGATTATAGATATTAAAACTTCACATCACAAACCACAAAAGCCTTTCTAATTGGTACGTTGGGAGAGGTAACAGGGTGTAAAAGGTTCAGGACTCTGTTTAATGACTGTACAGAGGATATTTTTTTGCTGTGGACATAATGTACAAAGACAGATATGTCACGGTTATTCTACTACGACTATTTTTTATCTAGTTTGAGTTGATGTGATATTTAATGAATGTTTGACCCTGAATGATGAGGTGGTTCTGTTCTGTCCTACCTCCAGCCCTGTTCCAGGACCTACAGGCCAGCTGTCTCAATGTCAACATGTCCGTCTGTCTGATGCATGGTTATATATTTTTGCTGTATGTTTATTTACTTAATAAAGATGGATGTTGGAAAATACTGGGAATTGTCATTTCTCCACCCCTGAAAATAAACCGTTTGTATGTTACATCAAATACAATGATGTCGTCCCTCATCCCGACAAATCTGTTGGCACGCTCCAACATTTGCTTTTCTTTAATTTAGTGAAAAGTTCTTTCTGATTTATTGGTTTCAATGAGTTGCTGGAAGCAGGAAAGTGAAATGTGAAAGGTTTTCCTGATCCTGGTGTTGCTCGGCTCAGGAACAGTTCTTAGAAGTGATTCAGACCCTTTTCACTATGGAACACTTTTACCACTTCAAACAATGTAAAATAAATGAGATTGTTCTTCAGGCCAGCAAACACCTTTCTGAATGTTTTAAGCTTCTAATACAGATCCAAATATTTTTAGTGCTCTGTTCTTGACTGACACTTTGGAAAAGCATGACAGAGCTTTGACAGATGATCTACCTTTTTTTTTTTTTTTTAGATTTTTCTTGGTCTCTGATGGTTTTCGCTGCTAGTGTGAAAAAAATGTCACATTGGAGACACGAGAACCCAAAAGTGACACGTAGAAAAATGTGGATTTTAAATATTTTTTTATTTCTTAGAAAAGGTCTTCATTGGTTTGATTTAAACTTTTTGCAATCTGTATTTTTGGAGAAGCATTAATTTTCTGTTCATGTGTCTACAGCCAGACAGTTCTCCCACCAGTTACCACTCTTTACCCACTCATCAGTGCCAGATTTTGATTTCACCAGCCCAGTCGCAGGTGACCACTGTTGTGGGTAGGATGGGATGCTGAGAAACACCCAGGCACGGCTGGCTGTGAGCCTGGAAGGAGTGTAGCATTCGAGCGTTGTGAAAGTCGTAGAAGTGAGCGAAACCCGTGGAGCTTCCTGAAGCCAGGATCGTTCCATCCGGAGAAATGTCACTTTGTACAGCAAATCCCTCCACCTAGAGCAAAGATTTATTTGTGTTAACCTTCCAGCTAAAATCATTAAATTTCCTTCAGTGTCAGCACCCAGCTGGTATGTGAGGTTTTATTGCCCCTATGGTAAATGGTAAATGGCCTGTATTTGATATAGCGCCTTCTAGAGTCCTGGAACCCCCCAAGGTGCTTTACAACACAATCAGTCATTCACCCATTCACACACACATTCACACACTGGTGGGGATGAGCTACAATGTAGCCACAGCTGCCCTGGGGCGCACTGACAGAGGCGAGGCTGCCGAACACTGGCGCCACCGGTCCCTCCAACCACCACCAGCAGGCAATGTGGGTTAAGTGTCTTGCCCAAGGACACAGCGACAGACTGAGCGGGACTCGAACCTGCAACCTTCTGATTACGGGGCGAGCACTTAACTCCTGTGCCACCATCGCCCCTACATAAAATACAAGCAGTAAAACATGCAGTAACAAGAAAAGATGACAGACTACGAAAGCTTTGTTTTACTAATTATGACTCGAGTAAAACTTGTGACAATCCAGCAGAAAGCATGTACATTGATATTAATGCTAACAGTTCCAAATAGAGGCTTAATTCAACAAAAAATACACTAATTAACCAAAACATTGAGGTGAAGTTGCCCACCTTGTAAAACTGGAAGGAACTACATCCTGACATTCACATGGAATTTACTTCATAGTAGCAACATCCTTTAGATATAATGATCTGTATTGCTGTTCTACACAAACCAGACCTATACATCCCCCTCCACCACCCTGAGGCCATGGTTGTTACTGACCTTATGTCCTTCAAATCGCCGCCTCTTGTTCATTCTGTAGGGCTTCTGGGATGAGAATAGCGCAATGTAGTTCCCATTGGTCTGGGCCACAAAGGACTCCTCCTGTGGATGGAGAGCCAGACTCGGACACGTGTAACGCTCCTGTGGGTCAAAAGGGTTGAGGGGCAAATTCCCCAAAGAAAATTAAACTATTATTTGGTGTTTTCTGGTTATCCTTTTATTAATGATCTTAAATGAAAAATAGACATAAAAAATCTTACTTTTAAATCATAACCTTTCTGATCTGTACTTGACCTAGTTACCTCTTTAGTTCTTTTTGCAGTTTATACATTTTGTGTAAAATGTGACATTTTTATTTGAATATTTTCATTATAACACAATGTCTACTTTTCTTTAAGGTTTGTGACTCAGTTTCTGTCATAGCTGTTCGACCAAGTCAAAACAAAGTGTGGGCTTGTCCGGGATGTGAACCCTAGACCTTTTGAATCTAAAGCAATAACCATATTTGTAGATAAATAAATATACATAGTCAGATTAATAAAAATAAGATATGTTATATTGTACTGATTCATGTCCTTATTGTTATTTTCTTATCTTTTTATAATTATTTATGCTCTATTTTCCACAAGAACATTTTCCATCAGAAGTATGATGCAAAAATGTGCCCAAAATAAGAAAACTCAGGACTGGGTAAATTATCAAAGAATGAGCTTATTCTTCTTGTAAAAAAGTCGGACTTTTGTGCATTTAGGAGTTAATTTGTTCTTTTCTTAAGATTAATTTTCAACGCTGAGTACATACATGGTAGATCTGGTTGGAAACCTTAGCAGTGGTCTGGAAGTCCCAGGCAATGAGGGTTCGGTCTGCCGAGTCTCTGCTAACGCAGTCAGTACTTGTTATGAAATCCTGTCCACCTCTCAGAAACAGGATTTTCAAAGTCTGCTGGATTCCTGCTTTGTACACTTTTACCACCTAGAGGCACAGAAAAAGAACACATCAGATTCATGAACATTATTATGTGCAGATTTAACTTAAGAATGAGATATTTTACACCTCTGTTGGTATTTTATCAAATAAACTAGTTAAAGTCTAACATAAACATCCACCTTGAGGTAATAAACTGAATTTTTAGGAACGTAAAGGATGAAAAAATATTTTTTTAAATGCTAACTAAACTAGTATCTATTAAATTATTTTTACTCTTTTTGTTTGTTTGTTAAATTGCTGAAAACAGCTCTTGTAAACTAAACAGAGATTTATGATAGATTGCTCAATATGAGAAAATGTAATACAGTTCTCAAAAATGTAAATCAAACAATTTAAATAAAATGTTGTGATCTATATCTTTCATGTAAATGGAATCGTGTCCACCTCTTTTTATCATCTGCGCCGTTTTGCTAAAATAAAATCATTCCTGACAAGACAGCAACTGGAAATAGTAGTCCATGCTTTTATTACAACACGGATTGACTGCTGTAATTCCATCCTATTTGGAGTGACCAGGGTAACTTTGGCAAGGCTGCAACTAATGTAAAATATGGCTGCAAAACTTTTGGTGAGAAAAAATAAATTTGACCATGTCTCCCCGGTCTAGGAATCCTTGCACTGGCTGCCTGTGGATTTTTGGATTCGTTTTAAAATCCTTTTATTGGTTTTTAAATCATTAAATGGACTGGCTACTGCATATTTGCAGACACGGATACATCCATAAACACCAGCACAGACACTTCGCTCAGACTATAGAGCTCCGGACCCCATGTGACTCTCAGTTAGTAGACGCCATATTGGCAGGTAAAAAAAGCTAAACAAACACGGATCGTAAACATGAACGTGATCGGCTTGGATTTTACTTTGTCTGAGTTTACTTCACACTTTAAAACCGAAGAAATCATTTTATATGGTCAGAAATTAGACTAAACATCTCTGACCCTTACCGTGCCCCTGGGATATTTTTTAAAAACGCCAGAAGCTGTCGGAGCGGACTTCTTACCGGACCTGGCCGGGGAACCCCTTGGGATTCCCCTGGAGAAGCTGGCTCAGGCGGCTGGGGAGAGAGAAGTCTGGGACTCTCGACGCTACTGCCCCCGCAACCCGACTCCGGATAAGCGGATGAAAATGGATGGATGGATGGACAAATAACAGATTTACACGTAAGTAGTTTAAATAGATTGCTGTGCTGTTTGAATGTATAAACTGAACACCAAGAGAAATCACTAGACTAGTTTGATTTTTTTCCGTGAATAAAATAAATGTCAGGCAGGAGCGTCTCAGGATCTCAGTTCAGTTTCAGTTCAGTTTTAGTTTATTTGTCATATGCAAGTTAGCACAGGGTCAACATTGCAATGAAACGTGTATGACGAGCAGCGGTCTCTCAGCAACATGATACAGGAGAAAATATAATAAAATATAATAAAATAAAGCAAAAAAATATAGTAAGGAGCAAAATATTAGAGAGACATGGTAAAAGGGAAAAGATGACTAAATATATATGTGTCAATAAAGAAAATCCTGAAAAGAAATATGACGGGAGGGCAGATGGGATATTGCACAGGAATGAGCTGCAGAAAATTACAGTATTGCACTTTAGATATAAATTACAGTATTGCAGGATATAAATTATGCAGGATATAGATTACAGTGTTGCACTTTGGATATAAATTACAATAACAATAAAGTGAAGTGACCAGTACGGATTAAATATAGTACTTGTGAAGCTGCAGGGTAGCTTCTGAGTCCTGTGTTGTGTGTGTTTAGGTGTTGTGGTTGAGGTGTCGTATGGCTTGATGATAGAAACTGTTTTTAAGTCTTGTAGTCCGAGCAGACAGACTCCTGTAACGTCTGCCAGATGGTAACAAGGAGAACAGCTGATGTGCCGGGTGGCTGTGGTCCTTGATGATGCTGTGTGCTTTCCGGAGGCATCGTTGGAGATAAATGTCCTGAATGGCAGGAAGCCTCATGCCAGTGATGTGCTCTGCTGCTTTCACCACCCTCTGTAGTGATTTACGGCTGCTGGCAGAGCAGCTTCCGTACCACACTGTGATGCAGCTCGTCAGCAAGCTCTCAATTGCACACCTGTAGAAATTTGAGATGAAGCAGGCGCTCACGCCAAACTTCCTCAGCCTCCTCAGGAAGTAAAGCCGCTGGCGAGCTTTCCTGATAGTAGTGTCTGTGTGAAGGGTCCAGGAGAAGTCCTCAGTGATGTTGACTCCAAGGAACTTGAAGCTGCTGACCCTTTCGACCTCGACCCCGTTGATGCGGATGGGTTGGTGTTCCCTGACTGGTCGTTTCCGGTAGTCCACTATCATTTCTCTGGTTTTGCTGATGTTGAGAGTCAGGTTATTTTCCAGGCACCACTCGTACAGTGCCATCACCTCCTCTCTATAGGCCGTCTCATCATCCCCTGTGATGAGGCCTATGATGATTGTGTCATCCGCAAACTTGATGGTGATGTTGGTCTCATGTTTAGCAACACAGTCGTGTGTGAACAGGGAATATAGGAGGGGGCTAAGCACACAACCCTGGGGCGTACCTGTGTTTAGGATGAGTGATGAGGAAGTGTGCTTACCAACTCTCACCACCTGGGGCCTGTCTGTGAGGAAGTTTAGAATCCAACTGCAGATCGGTGTCAGGGAGGGAGGAGCAGATGTGACATTTGACCAGCCGCTCCAGGCACTTCATGATGACGGATGTCAGTGCAACAGGACGGTAGTCATTCAGACAGGAGACCACTGATTTTTTGGGAACGGGAATGATGGTGGATGCTTTGAGGGACGTCGGGACCACTGACTGCCTCAGGGAGAGGTTGAAGATGTTGGTAAACACCTCTGCCAGCTCGTCTGCACACACTCTGAGTAGCCGGCCTGGGATGCCGTCTGGTCCTGGAGCTTTGTGAGGATTGACCTTTTTAAAGGCCCATCTCACAGCTTCTGTTTCCAGAGTTAGAGTTGCAGCCTCACTGTCCTCTTGAGGGTAGAGGATCTCCTCTCTGTTGTCTGCATCAAAACGAGCATAGAAGTTGTTCAGCTCGTCTGCGAGAGATGCAGTGGGCTGAACACTGACTGTGCTGACCTTCTTGTAGTCAGTGATGCAGCGCAGTCCATTCCACAGTCGCCTGGTGTCAGAGCTGTGGTAGCCGGACTCCATTTTGTCCCTGTAGTCCTTTCTGGCCTTTTTTATGGACTTTCGGAGGTCATACCTGGCTGCTTTATATGCGTCAGCATCTCCAGAGTTAAAGGCAGAGGTTCGCGCTTTTAGCTTGGCGCGAACGTCTTTATTTACCCAGGGTTTCTGATTTGGGTATATGCGGACAGTGGTTTTTGTGATGATATCATCCATGCACTTCCCAATATATCCAATGACAGAGTCTGTGAGTTCATTGATGTTGCCATCAGCTGCATCCACAAATATCTGCCAGTCAGTTGTCTCAAAGCAGTCCTGCAGGGCCTCCTCAGCCTCACTGTCCCATTTGTAAATAACTCTGGAAGCTGGTTTTTCCCGTTTTAGTCTTTGTCTGTATGCAGGCAGCAGCAGAATGGAACAATGGTCTGCCTTACCAAAAGCTGGGCGGGGGAGGGGTTTGTAACACTCTTTGAATGGAGTGTAACAATGGTCCAATGTTTGATCACCTCTTGTGGGGAAGGAGATGTGCTGATAGTATTTGGGGAGAACCTTCTTCATGTTGGCTCTGTTGAAGTCTCCCAGCACAATAAAGGCAGCTTCTGGATTTTTGTTCTCAAGTCCAGTGATGATGTCATACAGTTCGTCCATAGCCGTGGCTTTATCAGCGTGTGGTGGAATGTAAACAGCTGAGAGGAGAACTGAGCTGAACTCCCTCGGGAGGTAAAAAGGCCTGACTTTAACGGTCAGGAGTTCGAGGCTATGAGAGCAGTAAGTTTTTAAGATACACACATCTCTGGCCCACAAGGAGTTAACCATAAAGCACACCCCTCCTCCCCTCTTCTTGCCTGAGTCCTTCGTTCGGTCTCCCCGGTAAACAGTGAATCCATCCGGCGTGATGGCGCAGTCGGGGACGCTGGGCTCCAGCCATATCTCCGTGAAGGCCAGAACGCAGCAGTTCCTGATGTCTTGCTGGTGTTTAATCCGTGCACGCAGCTCGTCAAGTTTGTTGTCCAGAGACTGGAGATTCGCGAGCAGGATGCTGGGGAGAGGTGGCTTGCTGTTTCTCTGTCGCGTTCGGCACAAAACTCCAGCACGTTTTCCCCTCTTTGTTTTCCCTCGACGTCGTGCGAGTAAACAAAGGATCCCAGGCAGCACAGCGTCCACGGAGTCAAAACCTGCTGTAAAGTCCGAACTGGCTGATGAACGTAGCTCCAGAAGCGCTTGTCTGTCATACCGCGTGTATGATCGCGCTGTGCGCACAGTAATAGAGAGCAGAACAAAATAAATAATAAGATTTTTGCTGAGATGACTGGGAGCTCTCGTCGGTGCTGCCATCCTACGGCGCAACCAGCGCAACCAGGATCATTGGATTAGATTTGTCTGAGATCTGTCTCGGTGAGACAGATAATAGCAATCCAAAGTGCTTTTTATGTGTGATCTGACAATTGATCAACCATTGCTTAAAAATTAAATACAGCTTAGCCGGTTAATTGCTCTGATCATAAGACACATAAACGGCAGCATGCAGGACTCACGAGGCAACGTTTTACGTGATGTTTACTTGTTGCTATGAGTAATAAAACAGAAAAAGCCACACCAAAATAAGTTTAAGAAGCCCACTAAGAATCGTAATAAAAGCATTTAAAATAAATACCATACACAGTTGAGGAAACATTGGTTTAAGTACCTGATATGAAGCGGTCGCTGCATAAGCGAAAACCTTTACTCTCGGGATCCCACAGCTTCATTTCAGCCTGGTCACTAGCGCGTTTTATTACAATGATCCAACGTTTGCGGCGCTCCGGATCTTGGGGAATCCTGTAGATGGCTCATTCCTTATGTCGTCCGTGTCTGTTCTACATCCTGGGGCACAACAGGAATCTACCATATTTCCTGTATGACTGAGTTTTCTGACAATAACAAATAGTCCAGCTGCCGGCTTCTACCTGCCAATATGGCGCTGTTTCGATTTGAACTGTTGCATGCCGGGACAAGTGACGTCAACTCCCGGAGCTCTATGCTGTAGTTTCCTACTCACAGTTCCTAGGACTGGTTTAAAGACAAGAGGAAACAGGGCTTTTTCCGTGGAAGGCCTTAAACTCTGGAATGAGTTACCTTTTGTAAAGAATGAGTCGTTTACATCTTACTTTATGAACCATAAAATGTGAGATTCCATAGAAATAAGAAATATCAATCTGATGGATCTTTGACTATTTTAACCAGAAGATCTGAACCTTTTATTGCAGGGATTAAGCGACACTTCGTATTAACTCCAAGGAAAGAGAGAGAGTCAGGTTTAAAATAGTTAAGAAATTTATTTCTACACTATTTAAACAAGACTAACTTAAAACTCTGTGTACTGATGGACTAAGGTGGAGTGAGACGTAGGGTTGTCACGGTAACCGGTATAGCGGTAAACCCCGGTAAAAAAGTTGACAATAAAAATAACCGTCCAGTTTTTAAAAAACTATATTATCTCGGTGGGTTTACCGTGGCCGCGGTTTCGGCGCGATGACCCTTACCAGCCACCGTCGCTTCAGCTGAAGTTCCCGCGGTGCGCACACGCACTTTTTAATTTGCAACGGCACCAAAACTTTGAAGCTGAAATAATGGCCGAAGGAGGAGACGGCAGCGCCCAAGACATCCAACAGCCCTCAAAGAAGACTAAATCGGAAGTATGGGCATATTTTGGATTTCTGAAAAATGCTGAGGGACAGTTAATAGAAGACGGCTATCCCGTTTGCAGAACGTGCAGGAAACAAGTGTCTGCAAAAGGCAGCAACACTTCGAATCGAATGGCACATCTGCGTGACCATCACCCACGTCTCTAGAGTCAGTGCAAGGTAAGTTAACATTAGCATTTTAGCTTAAATGCATGACGCGAGGACTTTTGGTTGAGGGAGAATGCAACGAGTCACTATATACTGCAGCCGCAGCGTCCTCTGCCAGCATTTAAACCGTGTCACGGACACCCTGTTGCTGGATGAAGCATCTTATTTGTTGATGATGAAGAGAAATATACAATTAGTTCCTTGTCATTGATTTGTTTACTTATTCAATGCCATTTATACTTGAACATTTGGATTTGATTACATAGTGTAGTAGTTATTTTAGTAATTTGTTTAAAGTGGCTATTTGTTTTAAATACATATTTTTTAAGGTTGACTTGTACAGTGCTCAAGTCAAGTGTGGACTGGAGTTTTAGATTTTCATTTTGATAATGAAGAAAACAAGTATATGAGAAAACAAGTGGTGTTTCTTTGATTTGTTTACATATTGTTTATGTTTTGAATGTTTGGATTTGTATAATTTAAACCTGCACTGACTACTGTAACATGTTCCAGAAAAATAAGCTATTTGTTCCTTTACTTGTGAAAAGTTGCACTTTTGCTAAGGCTTTGTGTTATTTTAGGTTTAATAAACACTGTTAAACCTTTTCAGAACTATTTCAGTTTGTGTAGAACAGGACTATCAATGCTTTCTGAACATATGCAACACCGTTTAAAAAATACCGCGATAATACCGAAAACCGTGATAATTTTGGTCACAATAACCGTGAGGTTAAATTTTCATACCGTGACAACCCTAGTGAGACGTGATGAATGGAATGTTATTCAGAACCAGCGGATCCGGAGAAGCGGTTAGTTCTGAGTGGGAGTGAATGTTTCGCTCCAAGCTTTAGTAGGGGATTTATAACACACATGAAACGCCATCTGTCGGTCTGCGTACCCCAGGGGAAGCCTCCGTTAGATCCAGAATACCAAGGTCCTCGTGGACCCTCTTTGGTACCGAAGCCGGTAGAAAAGCAGCGGTGCCGACCAAAATAGTCTTGGAATGCTTCCAGGTCATGACAGGTTATCACTGGCGTCTCCGAGACCCTGAAGGGGTCGTGAGGTTCAGCTTTTATTCTGAAGGAACCGTTGTGGTCAGTTGTAACTTGCAATAGATTTTATCCAGCTTGTCTGAGGTTCTTTATGGCTGAAGAGGAAGTCCAGATGGCCTGTCCGAGACTTCTCTAGAATGCTTGAACTAGGGTTGTCACTGTGTGAAAATTTAACCTCACGGTTATTGTGACCAAAATTATCACGGTTTTCGGTATTATCGCGGTATTTTTTTAAACGTGTTACATTTTCAGACAACTAAATAAACCCTGTAAATCAGGAAAATATTGTCCTCAGATTGTGTCTAAATTTAGCCTAAAATGTGTTATTTTGTAATTATGTTGTTTATTTGTTTACATTTTTCCCCTTAAGTCTTTAAAATACCAATATTTGCCCATAACTTCTTATTTTTTGTTTGTTTGATGTCATCATTTTAAAAATATTAGATCAGATGATACTCAGTACTCAAGTTCCCTTCTAATTAGATACTTTTTTTTACCCTTACTTGAGTAACAAACCCTGTATCAGGAAAATATTGTCCTTGGTTTGTGCCCTTCCAGTGAGCTTTGCAGATTTGGGAAAATGTCATCAGGCAGTAATCATTGTTAAATTCATAATTATTCTCAGAGAGAGACCAACTCTTATCTGCCCCTGGGAGCCCCGTAATGCATAGCGTCATTTCAACATGGGGGTGTCCACGACACGGTTTATATGCAGGTAGCGGCGCTGCGGCTGCTTTATATAGCGACTCGTTGCATTCTCCCTCAACCCAAATCCTTGGATCACGCATTTTAGCTAAAACGCTAACGTTAGCTTGCCTTGCGTTGACTGTAGAGTTGTGGGTGATGGTCACACAGATGTGTCATAAGATTTGAAGCGTTACTGCCTTTGACAGACACTTTTTCTGCACATGCTGCAAACAGGATAGCCGTCTTCTATCAACTGTCCCTCGGCATTCTTCAAATATCCACAAAATGCCCATACTTCCCACTTTGTCTTCTTTGAGGGATTATAAATGTCCTGTGCGCTGCCGTCTCCTCCTTTGACCATTATTTCAGCTTTAGCTTCAAGAAAGTTTTGGTTGTAAACAACAAAGTGCGCATGTTCCGCCGGCAACTTCAGCAGATGATACGGTGGCTGGTAAGGGTCACCGCGCCTACACCGCAGCCACGGTAATCCACCGAGATAATACATTTTTTAAAAACAAGACGGTTATTATTATTGTCAACTTTTTTACCGGGGTTTACCGCTACACCGGTTACCGTGACAACCCTAGCTTGAACTGAAGAAAAGGTGGCGTGGGATAGTTTTTATAATTGCCATATTTTGGTTTACTGGCGGATCAGAATTTGACATGCCAAAAGAGGGTTTATACAAACACCACAGATAACCACGCCTAGCCAGAAACGAAGGTTCTGATTGGATCAGACAAAAGGAAATGTGTTGTGGGACTTTAGCATAATGTGTCTTTAGTGTCTAGTGCAAATGTCCAAGATTATAATAACTTGTAAAATACTACTGTTCACAGGATTATAATATCAAGTAACAACATTGTCATTTCACAGATTGATTGAACATTGGGCTCACATTATTTTTGGTAATTAACAAAGTTGTTGATTATGTATTTATCAAAATAGTTCTTCGTCCTCGCTTGGTAACAAAGGTGAAGCAGTTCAGATGAGCAGAGTGCATGAAAGACCTTGGCCACTATCTCATGTAGATTCGCCTGTCTATGTCTCTGCTCATGCAGACGCAGCAGATCATGACCTTTAGGTCATAAACAGGACATTCATGACGCTACACTTTTAATGTGCGTGCTTCACCATCGGGGACAGTTTTTAAGGTCAGGCTAAAGACTTTTTTATTTGATCTGGCCTTTATCCCGTGGCCGTTAGTCTGCTTGTATTTTCTTTTATTAGTGCGATTTGTATGCCGTTTTAATTTATTTTTATTTATTTTTGTAATAAATTAATTTTTGTTTTAATCCTTGTCCTGTTATTACTAATACATGTCTGTACGGCGCTTTGGTGTCACCCCTGTGCCTGTAAGGCACTTTAGAAATAAAGCTTGAGCTGATTATATGATCCATGTTCGGTTAAGTGGTTTGGTCAAACTGAAGTTGGCCAGACGGGGAGGAGGGAGTTGGTTTTACCTTTTGACCCCACTTGCCACACGAACCGCGCTCCTCCTCTCTGTAGCGTTAGACTTGTGCTCCTGTCTGGGAGCTTTAACACAACACAAAAGCCTCCCGAGTCCATCTGCCTCCCCTCTAATTGTTGGGTCTCCGGGTGGGTGAGCTGATATTGGTGCAGACAATATGTTGGTGTACTTTTACCCAACAGCAAGACAGCTCAAGCCTAAAAATGACACCCAGCCTGAGAACTAGAGCTTTAACAGCCTGTTTTCTGAGAACTGCGCTTCGCTTCGTCTGCAGCTCATTTTGACGCCTACCGGCAGAAGCATTTCTGCTGTGTTAAATCTAAAACCCTGCTGGGAGCCGACTCGGTTGGCTGACGGGGAGAAATTACATGTGAGCCTTCAGATTCTGAGGAGGTGAGCAGGATTATCATATAAAACAGGCCATTAGGCTTAATAGCAACATTAGGCTGCAGCTTCACAGGAACGATCTACAGCAGGAGACTGGGATTAAATTAAAGTTTGTTTTTAAACGTTTCATGAAATAACTTGTTGTGTTCTTGTGCATGCAACAGCATCATGCAATAAAGTCCAGAGCAAATCATCTAACAGATAGAAGTAGCATGTAGCTAATAAAAGCAGAAGCAGGAAGCATGTTAGAACAAGAGGCAGTAAAATTGCATGTCTCATATCCAAGGAGGGTAATGGGTTTGACCTTGCAGCAGCGAGAGTCCCAGGCTTTGACCACTGAACTGTAACCGCCACACAGGAACACATCTGGGCTGTCCGGGTGCAGAACCACACACATCACCTTAAACTGGTTGTCCACTTTCACTGCCTGCTGTCCTGTAGACGAGAACAGAGCCAGGATCAACTTACTGATATTCTCCATGAAAGTGAGAAGTACACGCAAATTTACAACTTTTTAAGCAAATTATTTTGTAATTTTAAAAGCCATTTAAAGATAGAAGCTATGTTTTTTTCATTTAGCAGAATTGGGTGGAAGGATCAATCAATTAAATCCAAATAAGAATCAGTCAATTCATGAACAAATTCCCTTATAATAAGTCACGTGCAATTGTGATGGGTTGAAATGTTCTAATTACTGTTTACTGTGTTTACCAGTATGTGTGATTTAATGAATAATAAGAAACGGGTTCATTATTGTTTACATTTGCATTGTTTGTCAGTACTTTTTCTGTTATGCATCTTAAGCTTCATTGCAATTTAGTCGTTGTAGTAACGAAGTGTGGCCACCGGAGGGAGTCTAGCGCTAGTGAGCCTTAGAAGAGAGCACGACCCTCCTGGCTCATTCAATACACGTTTGAGCAGAGGGAATAACGTGTCCGTGTTTCTTTTATCATTTACTCCCCTTTTCAGGGGATTTACATTTGGAGGCACCGCTGGGATCGTGGTTGCGAGGCTGGAATCCTACGGTGTAGGAGAACATCCCACATAAACCATCCCATTAACAACCCGGGTAGTGGAGGGTGGAGCTGCAAGCAAGGTGACGCCAAACCAAGAGGACTGTGCATTCTGAGGTGCTAAAAAAGAAAGCTACTAGGAAGCATCAGCTCTGCGGTAACTGGCTAAAACACTAATCTTCAGCGCACCTCAACACTTTGGAAAAAAAAAAAAAACGAAAAATGGATTCAGAAGTGGAAAGTCTACAGTTTGAAATTAAAGGAGCCCTCTTCCAATTTACCAGCGACCAACTGATCAAAATATGTAATTATCTTGACATTTCTGGAACAAATAATGAAAACATCATAGGGAAAAGTCATAATTTTATTGTTTCACTGATCAGCAAGCATATTGAAAGTGACAAACTGAGCCAACTAGAAGATGCAGGAATGTCAGTACTATTGGAATTATTGGACATGATAAAAACAGTGCAGGAAGATGAGGAACAGGAGAACTTGAGCAAAGAACTAGAACAACTAAAACTCATAGTTCAACAGAAAGAAGCTGAAATGCATATGTTGGCCAATAAAAAATTAAAGGACACTGAAACCGGATTGGTCCAGGCTGCTCCTGCCTATATAAACAGCGGCTCATGGAGGAAAGACTTCAAGATTTCAGGACAAATTGGTGACCCCGGCCAAAAGGACAGACTAACATTTTCCAGCTTGGCCCGCCAAATAGAGAATGGTCTCAGCAAAGGTTACCACGAGTCAGAGATAGTGGATGCTGTTATAAGGGCAATAGTTCCTGGTCTACAGCTGCGCAGCTACTTGGAAGGAAAGAGTGATCTGTCCCTTCCCACTCTTAGGAGAATCCTTCATTCACATTATCAAGAGAAAAGCGCAACTGAGTTATACAAACAACTTACCACAGAAGTGCAGAACAGCAGAGAAACACCACAGAACTTTGTTATTAGAGCAATGGATCTGCGACAAAGAATATGGTTTGCTTCCCAAGAGGCTGAATCTGGTCTTAAGTATGATCCGGCACTGGTACAAAGTATGTTTATGCACACAGTTCTCACTGGCCTTCAAAGTGACTGCATAAAGACTGAACTCCAACCACATTTGTTGAAACCAAACACCTCAGATGAGCTACTCCTTGAAGTTCTAAATATCGCCTGTGCTAATGATAAAGAAAGACAGGATAAGAAGAGAGCCACAACACAGAGATTTACTGCTGTGCATGCAGTCCAGTCCAGTGACACAGGTAGTAAGAGGAAACCTGTGGAAGATCAAAATGTTACTATACTCCCCACCGATTTTCTGTCAGACCTGAAAGAAATTAAAGCAGATATGCTTTTGCTAAAGGACCTCAAAACTGAGGTTGCACAGATCAGGGAATCCATCCACAACAAAGAAGAGAAAAATAATACACAACCTGCAGTGCGCCAAGGACCAGAGTATGGTTATCCCTATCACATGTCAAATACTCACCCACAGTTTACCACCTGGACCAGAGAGGGTGCAACGGTTCCTCATCATCAGAGAGGGCCTCTACAGGAATACCAAGGTCCAGCTGATCCAGGATTGATGAAAGGAACTGCCCAGTTTCAACAAAGATTTGCACCACAACAATACCCGGTGCCACGTGCCAGACCGAGGTGCTATACATGCCAGGAGCAAGGAGAAAACTTCTGCCAACATTGCTACAGGTGTGGAAGTAGTGAACATTTCCAAGCTGGCTGCAGAGGGAACAGAGGCATGCATGCTACTATAAGGGAGTATCCTTTAAACGAGGGAGGGTTGCCCCCGCGGGACAGGGAGTGACCATACACACCAAGAGGTCCCTAAAATGTGCCAGTTGTGGAGGAACGGAAGGAGAAAAAAGATTTGGACAATGTTCAGTGTGCAAACTAGTGATGCTCTACTGTTCCAAAGAATGCCAGGAGAGTCATTGGCCAGAACACAGAGAGACCTGTAAGCCACCCATAACAACCGTTAAAAAGACACAACTATGCAAAACAACGACAGGGAAAAAGAAAAGTAGTATCTCAAAGAAAGACACTACAGTAGTCGACCTGGTGGGAAAGAAGTGTTTCATTAGCTGCTACCTACAACAAAAGAAAACAGAAGCGCTCTGGGATACTGGGTCGCAAGTTTGTGCAGTTGATGAAGCATGGAAAGCTGAGAACATTCCAGATGTTAAACTCAGGGACATAGCAGAAATTGTTAACCCAGGTGATCTACAAGTTGAGGCTGCCAACGGCACAGAGATGCCATACGTAGGATGGGTAGAAGTGTTGTTTAAACTAGCAGCTGGTCCGCAAGAGTTTTATGTCCCAGTGCTTGTTATGAAAGGCAGCCAACTTTCCCGCCCCATTATTGGTTTTAATGTTATTGAACACATTATTACTAATGGTCAGGCTGAAATGAACAACAATGAAGCAAAAGAGGGGTTTTTAAAAAGTGTAAAAATGGCTTTCCCAACTTTAAAAAGGGGGAATGAGAAGGCGTTCATTAAAGCGGTAAGGGTGGAACGAGCATGCGAGTATCTGGTTAAAACAGCATGTTCGAAAATGAGTGTGCCAAGCCATAGTACTCTCCAAGTAAAATGCAGAATCAACGTCAGACCATTCAAAGAGGACACTATGTTGGTGTTTGAACCTGATGGGAACCCACTATGGCCAGAGGGGCTCCAGTTTTGTGACACTCTGCTTAATGTACGAAAAGGTGTTCAGCCTAATATTGTTCTTAGTGTACAAAACCCCACAGATCGCGACATCACGTTAACAAAAAGAGTAGTTATCGGCACTGCACAGCCAGTCATATCTGTGTATCCAGTCAACACAGGAAATGACTCGCAGCTACCCGTGTGCATAAATGATATCCAGACTCACAATAGTGAGGACCGGGAAGCTTCTACAGAACCGTGGGAGCCTCCTATTGATCTCAGTCACCTGACTGAGGCTCAAAGACAGATTGTACGTGATATGTTAAAGGAGGAGTCAGATTCTTTCTCTCGATCTGACAATGACATTGGGTGTATAGAGAAGCTTCAGTTAAAAATTGAGCTAAAAGATTCAGAACCAGTCGCCCGTACTTACATGTCAGTCCCTAAACCGTTATATGATGAAATGAAGGACTATTTGACTGATCTGATTGTGCATGGATGGATTGAGAAATCATACTCGTCCTATGCCTCGCCTGTCGTTTGTGTCAGGAAAAAGTGTGGTTCGATGCGTCTTTGCATTGACTACAGGGAACTGAATCGAAAAACACATCCTGATCGGCAGCCAATTCCAAGAGTTCAGGACCTTATGGATGGTCTTGGTGGAAACACCATGTTCTCTCTGCTTGACCAGGGAAAGGCATACCACCAGGGGTTTGTGGCAAAAGACAGTAAACATTTGACCGCTTTTGTCACCCCCTGGGGGTTATATGAATGGAATAGGATCCCATTTGGGCTAATGAATGCACCAGCGGCCTTCCAACGCTGCATGGAACAGTGCCTTGAAGGGCTTCGTGACAAAATATGCGTCCCATATTTGGATGATACACTCGTGTTCAGTAAAACATTTGAAAGTCATGTCAGTGATGTTCGAAAAGTTTTGCAAAGACTCAGACAACATGGAATAAAATTAAAACCCAGCAAATGTGAGCTGTTTAAGACTGAAATCCGCTATCTTGGAAGAATAGTATCAGCAGAGGGAAATAAAATAGATCCTTCGGATACTGCAGCGGTCCGTGTTTTAAAAGATAAAGAACCAAAAACTGTTGGTGAGTTTAGGCAAATTTTAGGACTTCTAAGCTACTACCGTCAGTACATTAGAGACTTTTCCCGCATTGCTGCCCCTCTGAATGATCTGACCAAAGGGCCAGGTAAAGACCAGAGCCGACCACCCTGTAAAGGGAAAAAATCACAAAGCTACACTGAGATAAAAGTAGTGCCATCCCACACTCCAATTGAGTGGACAGAAGGCCATCAACAAATTCTTGAGAAGCTGATTGATTGTTTGATTCACCCACCTATTCTGGCATTTCCAGATTTCTCTCTCCCATTTGTTGTTCATACAGACGCTTCCAGCAAAGGCCTTGGGGCTGTACTGTATCAGAAACAAAATGGAAAGTTACGTGTCATCGCATACGGATCCCGGACTCTGTCAGCACCAGAAAAAAACTACAATCTCCATTCAGGCAAATTGGAATTTCTTGCTCTTAAATGGGCCATCACAGAAAAATTTCGCGACTATTTGTATTATGCCCCATTTTTCACAGTTTACAGCGACAACAACCCATTAACTTATGTGTTGTCAACTGCTAAGCTAAATGCTACAGGGAGTAGATGGGTTGCGGAGCTTGCTGATTTTAACTTCACAGTGAAGTATCGGCCAGGCAGAGAAAACATTGACGCTGATAGTTTGTCCCGGATGCCATTGGATG